GACTACCGACTACCGACTACCGACTACCGACTACCGGTAAAACCTTAATTTCTGCCGGCATGAGCACCGTCACGGCAGGGCCGGCAGTCGACCTCCGCATCTGGTGCCAAAACCCCATTTCGGGTTGCTGCTAATGCAATGCCAGTGAAGTTGAGGGTTCCCTCTGCACTGGCAGCCAAATACCTTAAAGGATCCTAAGGTAGGAGGATCCTAGACCGAGACCGGACTCTTATATCTTCGGACTGTTGGCGTTGCCGACCCATTTATACCGGGCTCGTGTGTGTGTGTGTGTGTTAAAGGATGAGCCTGCACTGGCAGTGCCTCAGCATCTCATAAACCCTCTGAACCTTCACGTTCTGTGTTGGCAGTTGCTGCGCCCAGTGCTGGCGGTGTTAGGATGGAATTCGAGCCGGTGGTGGAGCGTTGCGCTGAGGGAGAGGAGCACTTTGCACGTGGGGGTCTCGCAGGTGACACTGACGACGAGTCTGACATTGAGGAGATCGAGGCCGAGGCCCGCCCGCGCAGCGCAGCACAAGGTGCAGGATCAGACTCGTCGGCTGAGAGTTTCCAGAGCAGAGAGCAGCCTGAGGCGTCGGAGGAGGGCCAGGACGTTTTCTTCTGCCCGCTGTGCTCCCGGCATGCCCCGCTGCACGAGGTGGTGCCCATGCCTGCCTGCCCCTGCCTGTTCTGCAAGAGCTGTATCCAAGCTTTTGTGGGGCGAGAGCTGGGCAGCTTACAAGCAGAACCTGGAGACGGCGGGTGGGAGATTGGCTGCCCCACTCAGGCATGCCGCGGGAAGCTGATGGCGGCAGACTGCCAGGTGACTGCGTGATTCTTAAGTCAGGCTTCTAGGACCCCATTTGTTCAGTCTGCTTTGGGCAACCTGATAGCCTGAGAAGCCAGCCTGTTCCAAAAGAGAATGCACTTCATGAGAAGGTGGACTGCAAGCGACGGTCGGCTGGAGACCTGGTCCTCAATTGGGGAGCTAAGTGAGTTGTTTGACCTGTGCAGGCACTTGCCCCTGAGGCCTTTGCCCGCTGGTGCGAGGCCGCCAGCGAGACCTTGTTGGAGGAGGATGATACCTTCATTCACTGCCTTAATCCAGAATGTGGCATTCCCATTGAGAAAGTGAGCACACTCATCAAAGGAATTGTTCATACAAATGTCTCCCCGATGCACTTCAAAATCATTTTAAGACAATGCTTGTGTCCATGTTCATTTGGGATTAGAGCACTCCACTTTCAGCAGGCATCAAGGCAATCACAATCTGACCTTTCAAAGCAGCAACATTGATCTCCACTGCGCCAACTTGAAAGCCCTCATAGCCATCATGAACTTGGGCGCAATTCTCTGCTTAAACGTCTCCTCTTCGTGTCCAGCTTGGTTACGCCCCCCTACCCTTTGGCCTGGAGCTGACAGGCGTTCCTGAGTTGGACCGCACAGCGCCCTTCCTGGAGCGCTCCCCCTCGGGCACCCCGCTGTCCCGCCAGGCTTTGGTCCACCGAGCCAAGTTCCTATACCGCTGCGGAAAATGCTGTACAGACTTCTGCGGCGGCTGCCTTACGGCTCCTTACCATCTTGGCATCAGCTGCAAGGAGGTGAGGCCGGCCCTGCCATACTTGATGAGTGAAACTGAGAAACTTGTTCAGAGTGCAAGTATTGAATGGTGATGACCAATCATCTGGCGGGGTAAAAAATGCCCTAGTAACTTATCAGACTCCCTTTTTTGTGAATTTTGGAGACTGGAAGCGCAGGCCTGAACACATTCTGATTCTGCCCTTGGCTAAATGACTTGTATTGCTGCAGAGTCAAGTATCCCTCCATGAATCATTCGTGTTACTTACATCAGTGCTCGTTTGCGGTCATACAGAACATCACGCAGCAGCATGCGCGCCGCTGCCGCTTCTGTGACTCGTTGTGTGGAGAAGCGCTGGACACGTCGTCGTTGCTGGCCCGCCCTGTGAAGATGCTCCGGCGCGAATCAGAGCAAGAAAGAGTGGACACTAGCTGGTGAGGTAGCAGCAGGGACTTGTAGATAAAATTTCTTCACGAGAAGGGTGCCTTTGACCGTCATGCTGCGCTTTACCCTAGTGTCTATTCCTGCTCTCGGAGATCGTCTGATTGTCACTTCCTGGTGTTTCGACCAACTGAAACCCTCTCCATAAGGGCCCCTGTGACTAAAAGGTGGGGGAGTCAGTCATACGAGTTTGGCAGGTTAATTCCAGCGCATTGACCACTTTCCGATAGTTGACGGGGTTCTAAGCACAATGAGTGCGAAGTTGGCACGATCGAGTCCTAGGGCTTTTGACTCCTTCCGGTCGACAGTGACCCTGATAAACCGTTCCAGGTGTATTGAGAAGGCGGAGCTGGTGGAGGTGCTGCTGTGGGCCGCATCCGTGTGTCCCGACCAGGCGTGCCGCCAGAGGTGAGTCACCGGAGAAAATGCACTGTGATCCCGCCAGTAGACAGGGACTTGGGGGCTACACCTCGGATTCCAACCGGTTGCGATTCATCTTTGAGGACATGGGCTTTGTGTAGGTGCTCACGTTGTGTCGTTGTCTGGAGCAGGCTGGAGAAGTCGTGCACCCGTATGCTGCCGTGCGGGCACCATTGTGGGGGGGTCAGGGGCGAGAGGGAGTGCCTGCCGTGCCTGGAGGTAAGCCCCCTGTTCGTGTCAATCTGATCACTGGCGGCCCAAGTGATGCAGTTTCCCCGCTGCCTAGACTGAAGGAAACCGGCAGGCTGTTTCGCGGTGAAGCCGTTCTTCTGGGATTGCAAACCATGCGAAGCTGTAATTTGGGGTGCGACCCAGGTATCAGCTCAGCAACGTTCGTTGCCTACTCCCTCCAATCTCGTGGCCAGCCGGCTCGACCTCGCTTCTCTCCGCAACCTCAGAGCCCCTGCCGAGAGCCCCACGGGCGGCCCCACCCCGCGGGTGCGCTGCCTCGGGCGGACGATGACTGCTCCATCTGCTTTGTTGACTCGCTGCGCCAGGGGCCGGCGGTGAGCGCACCACTCAATTGCGACTCAGCAAAAGCATCTGTGCGTCACCATTCGATACTTTATCTGGCTCAGCCTGTTGAGATCCTTGCATACCTTTTTCTATAATACTCACTCCCAATTGTTGAGGAACCGCAAGCTCCAATTTGAAGTCTTCCAGTTGCCGTCTGTTCCGCAGCTGGCACACCTCCTGGTCTGAAGCGCGGCACCTGTTTTAACATGGTCTCGCAGATTCGCCTGGAGTGTGGTCACGTGGTGCACTTCCAGTGTGCCGAGAAAAAGATTGCGGCAGGTCAGTGTTGCGCTCTTCGATGCAGTACTTTGAAACAGGCTTTGCAACTCGCACTGCGGTTTACTCGCTGATCTGTGAGCCCGTTCTCAAAGCCGACCGTCTTTCCAGCACATCGTCGTGGACTGCCTTGATTGGCCTACGCCAGTTTTCGCACCAAGGAGAATTGTCTAAGCTCGGCACGCTCCGGGTGCAGGCTACCCCGGTCCCGCGATCAGCTTCGGCTTCCTGCGCTGCCCCCTCTGCTCAGAGCGGATGCGCCACCCCAGCCTGCACAAAGTCCTCGCACCTGCGCTCACGCTGGAGGCGCAGGTAAGTACCGCTTGGCACGTCCAGCCAAAACACCCGGGTCCTTTCTATTTCGATAATTTTCAATCTGGTCCGCATATGATTGAACCGACTCGCTCACCTGAGGGGGCGTTTCTTGCTGGCCGCCTTGAGCTGGACAAAAGCTTTGTTCGCTCCCAGCTGTACTTTATACGGCGGCCTATTTGTGTCTAGGTCCGCGAGCGTGGACGCGCCCGGTTCCGGCTGACCCTAGACCAGCGGCAACGGCGCCGCGCAGCAGCCAGCAAAGGAGCAGACGCAGGCGAGGAGGCGGCCGCGCTAGCTCAGTAAGGCCGTCAAATCATCTCTTCCAGTCTTGCTCTCCGAGGACCGGGAAACAATGTAGACAGGCCCAGCTCATACAGAGAGGCCGAGATTTGAGGAGTTTGGTTCTTCTGTTGAAGTCCTTGCCTAGCGTGTACCTCGTGCCCCTGTTTCTGACCGAGCCGATTGAGCTTCAAATTCAGGTACCAGTTTTACCTGTGCTCCCGGTGCAAAGTTCCGTACTACGGGGGGGAGCGCCGGTGCGCACCTGCATTCGAGGGCCCAGCGGAGAATGTTTTCAGGGCGGATGAGCTGGTGTGCGGGGGCTGCTTGGCGGGCAGCAAGGGACTCTGCAAAAGGGGGCACGGCAGGGACTTCATCGAATACAAATGCAGGCAAGATTTCCGCCCAACCGACTTTCATCTTGTGAAGCTTTTCTGGTTGGCCTCGCTCTGACCCTGGAGAGGCTGCGCATTTGAAAGGACAACCTGGATCTCAGACTTTGCAGACTTGGCCTCAGACCCTGATCCTGCTCTAGGCCGTCGAACACGGGGCTTTCTTCGTGCGCAGGTTCTGTTGCAGTGTCGCCACGTTCTTCTGCTTTGGTCACACCCACTTCTGCGACGACTGCCACTCTAGCCGGCCCGACAGGAACCCCGGGCTCGTGAAGCCGTGCCCCGGGGCCACGCGGTGCAAGCTGGGGGTGGAGCATCCGCGACAAGGGGAGGAGTACTGCCTCGGCTGTGCGGCGTGCCGATCGACAGGCCAATGAGGCACGTCTTGTTCTATCAGACTGTCCGAGATCAGGCCCGTTCAATGCATAGAACCGAATACGGGCTAGAATGACAGAACGCTCAAAGATCCTGGAACGCCTCGTAAGATGTCGTTAACAGCAGGCCAGGATACCTCGATTAACAGGACAGATCAACTGTGTATGAGCATATTCTCTGTCCCTTGCTGTTTTGCTTATTCATGAACCTTCCCCTGACCTAGCTAGGCTATTGAAGTAGGAGTAAACCGGAGCTCGTCACGAGTATGTATTGCACCAGAATGTAGCTAACCTCTTTAGACCGTTGTGATTACAGCTAGCGCGGCATCGTTCATTTTTTTTGCAGGCTGCTAGTCACCGTCCATTTCACTAACTACACCCGGGTCAACAAG